GAAGGAAAGAAGGAAGGAAGGAAGGAAGGAAGGTAGGTAGGTAGCTAGGTAGCTAGGTAGCTAGGTAGCTAGGTAGCTAGATAGGTAGGTAGGTAGGTAGGTAGGTAGGTAGGTAGGTAGGTTGGTGGGTCGGTCGGTCGGTAGGTAGGTAGGTACGTAGGCAGGCAGGCAGGTAGGTCGCCGGCAGGCAGGCATGTTTTGGTAGGTGGGTGGAGAAGTAGGCAGGTGGATAGGTAAATAGCTAGATAGGTAGATAGATAAGATAGATAAGACAGACAGGTAAGATAGGGGACAGAGATAAGATTGGCTTGGTAGCTAGATCGACACGTATGTCTCTTTTAGCTTACACATGCATACATATTCCTTTTTCTGTTGTGCATGCAAACATGTCTGCAGCTGCGACCATCAGTGTTTCTATATCTATGTGCGATGACGCGCATCTTTTCGATGGAGCACATGCGGTCAGAGTACACTAGATCCTGCAGTCATGGGCAACTGTGGAATGACAAGGCTGATGCGAAAAAAGGGCATGCCGCAGCAATTTTTGCTGACAGAAGCGATGATGCTGACGATGGTGATGACGACTTTGATGACAGTGGTGATGAGGTCATGATGCGAGGGTCGCTGGTGGTGATGACAGTTCTGATGATGTTGTCGGTTATGGTGGTGATGACAAGCGGTGATGGTGCCGAACAAGTGTGGTGATAGTGCCGAGGGCACCTGCAGCTCGAGCCCGGAATCCTAACCGCTACAACACCCCTTTACTTTGCACCGCCGGCAAGTTTCAGCAGGTATGGTTCCACTGCCATTCCTTACAGGTTTTGGCTCGGCGCCCGGTCCAAGCGCGGCTTGTCTACTCTCACGACATCCGAAACCCCAGAACTCAAACCCTAACCTTTACGAAGCACCTATACGCTAAAAGAAGATCTGCGCGAGGATGTGGCCTTGTTGACTCGACCGGCGCAGTCACCGTGGGGCGCGCCTGCTGCGTGCCCACGATGTTCTTCTCCAAAGCCTGGTACTTTCTACGGCTTCGAGTTTACGGTTGTAGGGTCTTGGGCGGTTTGGGCTTGGAGTTTTGGGGGTGACTTTCATGACTTTTGCTGTGTCCTTGACGGGTCTTCTGCAGGGTTTCATCGGGCCTCCGATGTTAGGGATTTCTATTCCTGAGTCTTCTGAGATTCTGGAGTTGGGCACAGCTGGCGGACCAGGTGCTTTTTTGGTTTAGAGCTTCTAAGTTTTGGGAGTTGGTGCACTTCTTATGTTGGGGGCTTCGGGGCCTTGTCGTCCTTTGCTGTTCCTAGATTTGTTGGATCATGCTGCTTGGGGCGTGGAGATTTCCGGCTCTGCTGGGTTTACGGCAGTGTTGGAGTTCGGAGCTCAAGGGCTGGCCTTGAGTCTTGCCCTCGGGCATCCTTCCGCCTAGCCGGTGAGGCAAACCCAAAGAGAAAAGTGGTAGAGTTGAAGCTGCAACTTCTCCGAACTTGACCACAAAAGGCCCGCAAGGGGTACGTAAACCCTAAACTCTATCCCCAAACGGCTTCCGACTAACAACCTTGAAGCATGACCCAATGACTTCTTCCTAAACCCACGAAATCCGTCAATCAGTCCACACTGCGGTTCCAGTGGAATCTCGATCTGGAGAGCTGTGGCACATGAAGCTCCGTGAGGGCAGCTTGGTTTCGGGATTGGGGGATTCGGGTTTTTTTTCGGGCCTTCGAGTTGCCCAGCCAGGGCTCCCAGCCCCAGCTCGCTGGGGCCCCGACCACTACTCGATCGAGGATACCGGGTCTCGCATGTGCCAGTCTCCCAAGCAGTCTCGCAACCTGGGCTTTAAGCTCTTGGGCTCTTGGGCTCATGGCTTCCCTTCCGTGCCATTCCTTCAGCCCAAACCCGCACGGGATTTTACCACAAAGCTTCTATGACTCAACAGGGCTAAAGCTGTAGAGCTGAGGGCCTGGTGTTTAGGCGGTTTTGTGCTGATCTAGACCTTACGTAAACCCTGAGCCCTAAACCCTAAACTTTAATTAAACCTTAAACACCGCCCTAAAGCCTATGTCGTGTCTACAGTCTACACCTTAAAACCCTGAGCCCTAAACCAGAAACTCTAAACCTTAAACCCCTGCCCTAAACCCTAAATCCTAGTCCTAACCGTTGCAGCACTGGCCTCCGTGTCACTCGCCTCCTTAAGGAGCCAGTCCTCAGCGATGTCTTCGCTTGATTGACCGGGTGGCTCCTGACAAGGGCTCAAGGGTTTAGGGTTTAGGGCGCAGGGTTTCAGCACTCACAACTAGTCAAGCAGGCGAGGATCCGAGCACCAGAACGACAAGCACATTGGCTACTCTTAGCTACATTGGCATAAGAGTCATCTCAGAAGTTTATCCGAGGGCGGTGAAAAACATCCACAGGCAAACTCTCCACATCCACTAGTCACTCCACAACCGCGTTACACCTCATCTGTCTGTGCCAGACTGCTGTATGCCAAATGCGAGACAACTCCATCCCAGGCTTCCCACATGCACCCCACAGGTCTTGTAAATGCAAATCGTGCCATGCAGACTGTCAATCACCACATCCGTCAGGAAACAAGCTCCCATGCACCACGCAGACCATGCAGAAGCTGTCCATCCATGCCAGTCAGAAAACAAATTCCCATGCACCATGCAAACTAATAAGTGATCGGACCGCACATTCGGCATGCAGCAAATTCAGCCTCTCCAGTCATGCAGACATCATTGTAAGCCCTAAATTCAACATGCAACAAATTCAGCCTCTCCAGTCATGCAGTCGTTGCCGTGCAGGTGTGTCTGGTCATTCTCAGTCACTCGCTCTCAGTGACCATGGATGACAAGGAGTCATCCACCCACAGGAACCACGTTCGTAGTCGCAGCCCATGTTGTATCTCCATTGCCACTGCTTCTAGTCCCACAGGTCTGTCTTCCTCGATCATCAGAGCAGTATGCGGGCGTACGAAAACACCACAGGTTCTTGCCAGCTGTCTGCTAAAGTGTTGCACCATCTGGCTTCGTACAACTCTGGGGTGTTCCCTCTGTAGGCTGCCCAGAAAGGTGAGGGTGTCATGCGCCACACACGCTGCGTCTTCCAGATCTAATCTCTCCAGCACTTCGCGCAAACCAGCTGTTGTCATGCCAGTGTAAAGGGCTGAGGGCGGAGGTTGCAGAGTAAAGGTCATGGCAAGCACACGCAGGTTAGTGGTTTCCTAGGGTGAACCAAAAACACGGAAGGGTTGGAGGAAGGGCTTAACCCGAGGAACCTAGAACAGGAGGACCGGACTCAGACGACAGACCGGAGTACGACACGGAAACGATTGTTCCACCCAGATTGTAGGGACGGCGTTCACGCGAAGCAGTGAAAATGTTGGGTTTCGGTATCATTCGCGTCCTGGCGGAGCCCACAAAGTCAACATGCTCTCATAGTTCACGCTGTCACCTTGTCATCCTGTGGAATGCGCACAACTCTTCATGTACTCATCCAGTGGCTTCGCAACACTCTTTTGGTCGATCCGCTACAGCATCCCGAGTCTTGGCAACACGTTCATGCAGCAAAGGAATTCTGAGCATTCAATCTAATTCAAACAAATTCAGTTATGCACAAAATACAAAGTATGCAAACACTCATGCAAACATGCAGTCATGCATTAAATTCGGGCATGCAGGCAAGCACGTGCCCCTAGACTCTATTCTTCAAGGCTCATTAGTACAGAGAGGCCAGGGCATGAAAAGCGACAGCAGTAGTGCAAGCGACAGATTGGATCCTAACAAAATAACATGAGAGCTGTCTCGCATGCTCGGTCTCAAAAACTTAGCGCAATCAAAACTGCGCTCCGAAAAGACTCGACACAACCTGACGGGGCACATAGATCACCCTGCCATCCGCCAGGGCCAGGCTTGTGAGTGGTGATGAGGGGTTCAGGGCATTCGGCCTGATCAACTGCACAGGCACCGTCTCATCCAGGTTGATCGTGTGCGGCGTACTCGAGGAAGCGGGCGGGTTCGACGGCGGTGCCGTCGGTTGCTGGGGCTGCGTCTGCTGAGCCCACTCTTGCCGAGGCGGCGACGAAGCTCTCGTGTCGTCGTCTCGAGCTGCTTCCATCTCCGTTTGGATGCGGACCACCGTCGTCTGGGTCTCCATCAGGGTGTCCCTCAGGATCTGCAAGCGCTCTGGTTGATGGGCGCAGAGGCTCTCAACCGCCTCAACTTTCGACCCAGTCCAGCGCACCATAGCCATGAGGTCTCCGCGCTCCTTCTTGACCCGATGAAAGACGTTGCTAAGTTCTTTCAGGATCTCCGTCGTCTTGTCATTGAGTGTCGTGGCGAGGGTCTCCTGGGAGCGCTTGATGGGCTGAGTGCTCTGGGTGGTAATCTTCTGCGTCTCCACCAAACTCAGCTGGACCTCTTTCAGGACCTTATCAAACTTGTCCTGAATCGACGTCAGGACGGTCTCACTCTCCGTCTTGCTGCTGTCCTTCACGCCCTGAACGGTGTCCTTGGTCAAAGCAGCCTGGCCTTTCAGGATGCCTGCATGCACTTCGTCCAACCGGGCATGCACTTTCTTGACCGACCACGTCCACCAAATTCTGAATTCGGTCATGCGTTCCTTGCACCGAATTCTCCAGCACCTCCAACCTGCGCAAGATGGTCGCGATTGCGGTGTCCAAGGACTCTTGCGAGACGAGGCCAAGGGCCTTCGTGCCGAGGTCCTTCACATGCATGTCAACCTCACACATCTTGTCCAGCAGGTCGTCCATGGAGGTGTCAGGAACGTCGATCCCACGGGGGCGCAAAGAACGGAGTCGCCTTGCCACCTTTCGCACCCACGTGGGGCGCACGTTCAGCCACTGTCCCAGAACCAAATAGCCCGCCAAGATGCAGCCCAGCAGTGCAAGTAGAGGCAACGCCAGCTCCGTTGCACATGCCATCGCACCACTCATGTGGCGCCCAGCCCAGGCAGCCGTCTTGGTAATGGAGCTCACATGCATGACTGTAGTGGCCGCCATGCTTCGCAAGGAAGACTAAGAGCGAGGTCACTGAAAGTAGTGCGCGGGAAAAGCTGCAGGTCGCATTCAGTAACTCCGAATCCAAGCGACTCTCGGCTCACAGCTGCATTTGTACCATCAACTCAGCAAAATGCTCTCATCTGAACTGAGGCAAATTACACCTAGAAGGAGGGAGAGGCATTCTCTTTTGCATAGCGACAGGCAAAAGTGCCAAGGAGGGCAAACAAATTCAAAACATGCACTCGCAAAGAATTCAACCAAACAACATGCAACTTTACATAGGCGACGTAGATCAAGCGATATAAGGACGAAGGATACTACAAGATAATAGAGAAAAGGAGGTGCCGGGCAAAAACGAATTCCCACATATACGAATTCCTATATGCAAATTCAGCGTCAGCATGCAAGCACATCGCAGTAAACTTCATTGACTCACGGAGACTATACACACGTAGCTTACCTACGCGAAAGATGAGCCTGGTCTGTTCGACTTCGACTAGCACAAACTTAACAGTTGAGACTCACTGGCATGAACCAGCGCCTCGTCCTCCTCTGAGAATTCATAGTCCCAGAGGTCAGGCTCCGGTGCAGCTGAACCGTAGCAGATCGAAAGGGTATCACTGTCGGAGCTAGACACAATTAAAGCAGTATCATCCACCTCGCGACCGGAGCCATCTGAACACAGGTCGATGACCTCTCCCTGCTGGCGCCTCAACAGGCCCTCAGGCCATCGTTCTCGCTCATCTGAAAAGCGCAACTGTCTGTACACTCGCGCACCCCACACTTCACACTTAAATCGTTCCTCACATTCAGGCATGGGGAGTCGGAATCCAAGACCCATTAGTACCGAAAACAGAGAGCCAACCGCCCTTGAACAAGGAGAAGCAACGCAATAAGCAACAACCGAAAGTCTCTCCCCTTGCCATGGCATGACTGTGTGGAGAACAGTGTGCGCCGAAAAAGCAACCGAGGTCCTAATGTCAAAGCAGCAGCCTGGCGTCATACGACCACGATGTGGGATGGCGACATCCCCTTTCGTGTCCGCCAGCCAAATGTCTCCACCCTTGTACTCGGTAGTGAGGGCCGCCACAAAGGACGGGATGACCGAGTTACGACTGTCCACATGTGGTATATGTCGAACATCCCAATGTACCGTAATCGTGGTGAAGGGAAGGTCGTTGCGCAGAGTAGCCATGTACTTCGTGAGAACTCTAGTTGTCATGGGGTATCGTTTCGATGAGGTTCTCAAAGAAGTAGATGCCCACCTGCTTTTTGCGTCCATTCCTCCTTCAAGATGGCTCGAAGCACTTCAACCACTTTCTCCTTACGGATTTCAATCGCTTGTTGTAGGAGTGGAAGTGCCAGACTTTCGGCTTGGAGGCGAGGGCGCTTGGCTGGCATTTGTTGTCCCGTCCTGCCCCCCCCCCCCCCGTGCTAGGGGAGAGGAGTTGTCACCTCTAACCAAGCAGCTCGGGTCTAGCAAAAAGCAACGCGGCCGAGGGCAGACTGTCATAGTACTGGACACGAGCAAAACTAGCAGTCATGAGAACAGCCGTGTAAGGCCTAGGGACCAGCACAGGTTCCCGTTCCAGCATCGGTTTGAGTGAGATGGGTATCCGCTTCGGGGGCACCGACACATGCTCAAACAACTGCACCTCATTAGCCAGACTAGCAAAAGCGTCCCCACTTCCCCCCGAGATGTGTCCTTCCAGAATGCTCTTCATAAGGCATGCATGTGGCACTATCGCTGTGAAGGGAATCATGCCCTGGCAGGTGCTAAGATACTGCATGGCCTGAGCTAGGACTGTCAGGCAACGAACATGCACGTCCTGGCCTCTTCTCGCGGGACAGCAAAGTGCAAAACGAGAGATTGTTTGAGGGGGGTTCCCTTTTCGAACCTAAACAGACTCGCAGAACCATGTGCACCTAGGACAAGCCACAGAAGGACATGTCTCCGAACTTTCAGGTTGATGCGCTTCACCAGCACGAGACCTTTCACATAAGGGGAATCAGGAGGATGTCTGGTGGGTCGCAATGCTGCCGCTCCACCTTCAACAATCACAAGCTGGCGGAAGTCGTGTCGGGACATGGAAGCCCTGCATTCCAAGAAGCCAGCCACCTTGGCATCATGTTGGCCCACCCTTCCCGGTTCTGTGCTTGACTTTCCCAATACGGGCTCTCACCAGCCACCCACAAAGACTGGTAGCGCAGACGGAGCTTGTGCGCTAAAGTCTCCGAAAGCCAAGAAGGTTTGAGTCCGCCAAGAGCTAGCTTCCGCGAATTCGTCGAGGAGACTAGCCCTGGCAGGGGAGTATCAACCTGGCATCTGGCAACATGACCTAGGTACGTCCAGACTCGTTTCAACCACACTGACATCCGCGAGTCTAACCGTGTTGAGTGGCAATACAGTCTGACAGCGCGGCGCCTATGCTTGGTGTTCTCTAGCCACGTAGAAAAGGGATCTACAGTGAATCTAAAAATGCCAAGGAGGAGACTGTGCATGAGCCCCTCTATCGACTTCAGAGCTCGAACAGTGGGCCAAATGGCCCCGCAGCCCCAACTCCACTTTGAGGTAATGTAGCTCTGAAAAAGCAGGGCCTTAAGTCGGTGCGGCGTCTGTGGCTGATTCAGGAGGTGCCGCATGGCATGATATGCGCTAGACATCTTCCGCAAAGAGTGAGACAACATCAATTCCGGTGCACTGGTGTGCGCAATGGGGAGACCTAGAAAGAGCAATCTATCCTCTCCTTCCAGCGGCGTGCTCGAGCTGGCTGGAAAGACACCTGGAGTGGCCCCATCCACGTTCAATACCTTGCATTTACGAGAATTAACAGCCAAACCTATGCTTCCCAGACATGCCACTATGTCACGAAATTTGGTTTGGAGCTCCTGCGGCGACGAGGCAAAAAGCAACAGGTCATCTGCATACAAGAGGAAATGCGGCAAAGCAATCCTATCCCCCCACCCAGGCATGCTTTCCGTCCACCTAGCGGGCAATCCTCGCAAGTGCCAATCCAAAACTCGTCCGAAAAGGTCGGTGCTGTATGCCGAGCCTTGCGTCACCCCCTGCTCGACAAGCACATTCCAGACCTGATCGCCTAAAGACATGGTGAGTTTGTTGCCTGCTACTAACTCCCACAAACGACATACCTCTACCCCTGCTCAGCAATGTCTCAGATACTGGACAATCGCCGAATGAGAGAGCGAGTCAAACGCAGCACGAATGTCCAGCTTGGCCATGTGTATCTGCGAGTTGTGCGCTCGCCGCGTAAGGGCAATCACAGTCTCTGCAACAAAGACACCATCGATGGTTTGTGTGTGCTTTCGGCAGCCAAACTGACCAACCTGGTAAGGCGGACATAGGTTGGCTACTCGTACCATGATCATGCGTCCGTATATTTTGGACAAGACCGGCGACAAACAAATTGGACGAAGCTCTCCCGGCTCTCCCGGTTTGGGCACTTTCGGCAACAAGACAACTTTAGCTCGCTTCCAGGCCTCAGGTAGGGATTCCTCCCCACGCAGGAGGGCATTGAAGAAGGCAAGCAACTTACCTTTGTTGTCCTGAGAGAAGTACACTTTGACTGCCGCGTAACATACGGAATCCATTCCAGTCGAAGTCAACTTCTTGGCTCTAGCCAGAGCTAGCTTGAGCTCATCCTTAGTGAACGGAGCAACGCAGGCAACACTATGGGTAGCCATCATTGTCCGAAGCATGTCGGCCGAGGGCGGGGGAAGCAGGGAGCGATATTTGTGTTCATAGAATGCCTTGAGTTCAGTCGCGGCCTGTTCCCCACCCCCCCTTGCTTGAATATAGCTGCACTCAAAGGAAGACTGAGCTGCACTTCGGCGTAAGAAAGCAATTGCGGCTCTATCCCCCTGCTTGGCTCTCTCAAGGAGAGCTACCCTGTGTGCCGTCTTGTCAGCAGCCCGTTGGTCCTTGATCCGTTTCAGGTCCGTCGCTCTGCGGGCAGGGTCCGTCTCCTTTTTCCGAAGACGTATCCTCTCTTTAAGTTCCGGACTATCAACATAGCGAAGACTGGGGTAGCGCCGAGACGTGTTCCTGCAGACATGCTCTAGACCTTCCTGTGAAAAAGGAAGTGGTGAATTCGCGAATTCTTGAATTCTAGCTACATCGGGAAGCCACCTCCCACATGCAAATCGGGGACGCATCGGCCTGTGGTGAAGAGAGTCCGGGAAAACAAAGGAACCCCAGACCGGTGCATGATCTGACGGGAGTGCCTGGCGCATATCATGACGAAGGTGAAAACTGGCCCTGCAGGAGGGGTTCCTATAAAGGAGAAAATCAATCTCACTACTATGTCCTCGAGCGGTCCAAGTATCCCCGCAGGAACTGTTGAACAGTATCTCATGTCCAGCAATCAAACTTCGCAGATACATCATCCCTGCAAATTCATCCGACGACGCCTGCAAGTCCTGGTTCACATCTGCTCCCATCAGGACGAAGTCCTGATAGCGGGCCCCTGATAGGTGAGGCTCCAAGCATTCACAAGTGTCCTGCCACACTTGCTCAGCATCTGGTCTTTTGGTATGAGGTAAATGCACCGTAGCTAACATGAACCTTCCTAGTGGATGTTTGGCCTGCACTAGCAGACCCGTCGGCAGAGAAAAAGTGGACGTGACCCTAAAGTCAAGGGAGGCCCGAAGCAGAATGCCTTGGGATCTGTGGGCCTTTTCAGCGGAGATCGCATGCAAAATGAATTCTTCTCCAGACATGCAAAAGGTAGAGCATGCAACTTCAGGCCCTACCTCCATCATGCCTCCTATTTCCTGCAAAAAGACAACATCGGGAGTAACCACGAGGTCCTGCCAAAGAGAATCCAGCTCTCCCAAGTGCTTCCCATGCAAATTCCATGTACATGCAAGTAGCTGAGGGCTACCACGCCAGCAAGTCTTCCCCCTGCCCCGTCCCTACTGTGAGGGCGCTACTTCAAAATGCGCATGAACTGTTTTAAGGTCTATCTTGAGGAGCTTGGCCACCAGCGGGCCATCAACCCACCAGCCCGTCTCGCGCCCTCGTGCATCAAGCAGAAGCAGTGCACCGTCTCGTGCCGGAGCGACGGACACATGGAAAAGAATCTGCTGACCCTGTAGCCAAAACTTCCCTCTCCAATCGAACTCGAAGGTGCTAGGTGCTGCGTGCTGTGCTACCAGAACTTTAAGCGAGACCAAGGCACGCACAGTTGCACGTTCTTCGGGGGATCGATTCCGTTTGACCCACAAGACCTTGCCAGCCTGACCCTCAACTCGACTGGTCCAGCCACGCGCCTGTAAACACTGCAGCAGTTTAACCTGGATTTGTCGGTTGGCTCTGTCACTGTCCTCAGTATACAGGATGCTGAGCCGACACGTGTTCTCCCGAACCTGCGGCCCATGTATGTCTTTCAAGAGAGGAGCACAACCGACCGCGACAAACCACTTCCTAATCTCATCTTCCATATCAATTCGTCGAGCATCTACCCATCCGCCGTTGTGACACCTTATCAACAACAGCTCGCAGGTCCTGTCGAGTGTCATGAAAGGCCTGCACAATATCAGTCTGCCCCATCTCAAGCTTATTGATCCCCGACTGCATAGCAACTGCCCACGGGGGGGCCACACTGATGTTTCAAGATCATATACTGGGACCGGCGGAGGATCATCAATAGGCCTACCCCCAAACAAGGGCGGAAACAGGGCCCCTCCAGGATGCAGACTGGTCATCTTCTGCTTCTTCTCGGGGCTTCCAGAAACACTCTTATTGGTTAGAAGCGTTGCTGCTGTTCTGGCTGCCTCCATCGTTTCCTTCACTTTACTATCACCGTCAGGCAGACCACCGGGCGTACGTCTGGTAAGAGATGTCCCCCGAGCCCCTCCATCCCCCCCCCCCCCGCTCTCTCCCCCCCCACCGACAACCCCCTCCAAGGCA